TGAAAACACATGAACTGTTAAACCAATAGCTGAGGAGCTCCCATGGAACTGGATCAGGCCCTCTGGATAACTGAGACAGTTGATTAGCTTGAGCTGTTTAGGAGGCCCCCAGGCAGTGGATCTGGGACCTGTCTTTGGTGTATGAGCTGGCTTTTTGGAACCTAGGGCCTATGCTGAGACATTTTGCTCAGCCTTGGTGTAGGAAGGAGGGGACTGGATTTGCTTCAACTGAATCTACCAGGCTGGGCTGACTCCCCAAGGCAGACCTTGCCTTGGAGGAGATGGAAATGTGGGGTGGATTTGGGAGGAAGGCTGGGAGGTGGGAGGAGGGAGGACAGGGGAATCCATGGCTGATATGTAAAATTAAATTATTTATAAAATAAAAATATTTAAAAGAAAATTTTGTTCTTAGTGCCTGTGCTATGGGTGTTCTGTTCAGAAAGACATTTCCTATGCCAATGTGTTCAAGACTGTTGCCTACTTTTTCCTCTATCAGATTCAGTGGATATGGACTTATTCTGAGGTCTTTGATCCATGTGGAGTTGAGTTTTGTGCTGGGTAATAAGTATGGATATGTTTGGATGCTTCTCAAGGTACTCACCCAGGTTGTCAGTCTATCTTTTGAACCCTGTTTTTATATCTGTCAGAATAAAAGAGAATATATGAACAGGAATCACACACACACACACACACACACACACACACACACACACACACACACACACACACTTACTCATTTGCTTATTTCCATCTCATACTCTTCCTTGTGTTTAGGATCGCCTATTAGATACATACATTTTGGAGGTAGCAGCCTTCTATAAGGGCATGTTTGGAAGATGTATGAGTGACACAGAGACTTATGAAGGTCATTTGTTTGCTGAGACATCACAAAGCCCCTGATAGCTTGTGAGTTGACATTGGATTGAATCTTCTGGGGAAGTTTCCTGATCAGCTTTTTCCTGGCTGCTCAGAAGCTCACGTAAACTCAGCTTCTCTGCTCTTAACTCCCCCTTCTCTGAAGGTGAAGGCCTGGACACTGCTCTGCCCTGTTTTCTGTTTCTAGATACTTGTGCCACAAACTGAGGTATGTATAAAGAATAGACATTTTCTCAGGCCACATTTCTGGAAGCTGGATGCCAAGGGCATGGTGTCTTACTGTTGAGTCTTAACACAGCACAGAGGAGGCAGATACCACATGGTGAGACAGAAGCCTGCTGCCTTCAGTCTCTCTTCTCTTAATTACCAGTTTCTGGACTTAACCAAGAAGTATTTAATTTTACATTTTTGTTCATTTTGTATCCCCTCCCCCTTCTCCTTCTCTCTCCTTTTCTTTTCCTCCCTCCCTCCCCCTTCTCTGTCTCCATCTCAATCTGTATGTGAATGTGGGCCCACATGGGACACAGTGCATCTGTGGAGGTCAGAACACAACTTTCAGGAGTTCAATCTCTCCTTTCACCATGGTTCCCTTGGGATCAATCTTAAATCTTCAGGCTTGCACAGCAAGAGCTTTTCATGCTGAGCTCTTTCACTAGTCTGTCTTCCTCTTCTTGAAAAGCCATGAACACCATGACAGGGACCTTACTTAGCCTGACCTAAACCAAATTACACTCCAGACACTAGACTCTCAAATGGAAATTTCCTGCATGTGGACTTTCAGTGAATGCATACAACATGCTTTTGGTTTTCTCTGAACAGAATCCAAACTTTTTTCTGTGTGTGTGCATGGTATTATGACACTAAAACACACAATTTTTTAACTTAATATTTGTCTTATTTGACTAGAAAACAAGATCCCTGATGACCATGACCTTTTCTCCTTATAAGTGCTGCTTCTCTGAGGGCTACAGGGCCTAGCATGGTCAATGTAATAAAGCAGTGGTAAGGGAAACATTAGTTAATGGAACACTAGCTGAGTCTCAGGGGCCTTCTTTTCCTGGAAGCTTGATTGAAAGGAGAATTACCTAGTTCATTGAAAGCTACTGAGTTCATGTTCTACAAAGCAAGAAATTTATAATACCTAATACATAATGGGAACTATGAAAGAGCAAGCTTTTGAGATCAACCCCTAAATCCACCTGTCCCCAGACCTATGGTGATTCTTCACAATGTGGTTACAAAACAGCCTTAGAAACAGATGAGGCAGAGATATTCCTTGTATTCTGTAGTGCTCTTGGCCCTGTCTCAATTCTCTGATCATCACAACAAAGTCATATTGGGCCTGTGAACCCTGGAACAACAGTTTTCAACACTGGATCTTTGCCTGTGTGACCCTAACCTCCACCTCCACCACTCCCCAACCCCATCCTCCCACCCCCAACCCCCAGCCTTCTGTTAAAATCCAGATTGCCTTCAGTGGCTTTTCACTCCAGTTTTGTACTGTTTATTTCTTGTACTTCCTCTTCCTCCTAAGGTTGTGTGATTTGGGAAGACTGTTGAATAAAATGATGAGTCATTTCATGAGTTAGTATTTGTAAGTTACTGGCTCTTGGTGCTTAGCATCCACATTTCTGTTTCATCATTTTGTTTACACATTTAGGAAGGGGACATTTTTTCCTCATTGTATAGAGCATTGGCTCTGAGTTATCACACAAGGTGTCCAAGTTTAGGTTAGTTTAGGCTCTGCACCACGTCCTGAAGTGTGTGGTGCTCTCTCTTCAACCCCCATCAGATTGTATATTCTTATTGCAATTTAAGGTTAACAAAACGATGCATCAAGGATTCCATCATATTGTTTGCTAATAATGTCAATTAGTGTTTGTTGGATGTGAATATGCTAAGCCAGACAGTTTATCAGTGACTCACAAAGAGAGGAGGGGTGGGGTGAGAATGTGGAGAAAACTAAACTTTTGACCAAGACAGCAAAGCATTTTGGAATTCAGTCTCCTTAAATGTTTAAAGCCCTGTGAAAGGGATGCCTCCTACAGGGAGGAAAGGATTCATAAGCAGCACAAAAGTGACCAGTTCACCTACCCTGTTACATCTCATAGGTTTAAGGTTCCTAAGCACCTGCCTGTCTCCTTTCTCAGATTGAAAGGCTTTTCAGATTGATCATAGATTAAGGGAAAGTATCTTTTCTCTGTTTCAGGAATACCAAATTGATATATTTTTTGCCCAAACCTGGACAGACAGCCGCCTTCGATTCAACAGTACAATGAAAATACTTACTCTGAACAGCAACATGGTAGGCTTGATATGGATCCCAGACACCATCTTCCGAAACTCTAAAACAGCAGAGGCTCATTGGATCACCACACCCAACCAGCTCCTCAGAATCTGGAATGATGGGAAAATCCTTTACACATTAAGGTAAGATGTTGTATAGCTCAGGTTTTTTTTTTTAAAAAAACTTTATTTTTTTATTTAAGAATTTTTTTATTTATTTAACATACATATGAACCACAGATCCCCCTCTTATCCTTCCTCCTGCTCCCCTCCAGGTTTCCTCCCTGCCCCAATCCCCATCCCCTCCTCCAAAAAGGAAAGGCTTCCCATGAAATCAGCAAACCTGGTATACTCAGTTGAGGGAGGACCAAACCCCTCCCCACTGCATCAAGACTGAACAAGGAGTCCGTCCCACCATAGGTAATGAGCTCCAAAAAGCCTGATCCCACTGCCAGGGCCCCTCAAACAGACCAATCTATACAACTGTCTCCCATGTGCAGAGGGCCTAGTCCGGTCCCATGCAGGTTCCACATAGCTCAGTTTTTTAAACTGACTCTTTATTAATGGAATCTAAGGTAGTATTACTTGCTGCAATACCCAGGAAACACGAACAAAGAGACTAGATCTATTCAAGCCCAGCTTGTAAAAAACTGGAGACCCTTTTGTCTCAAATATTCATCTTCTTGGGGTTCAGGGGTGAAAAGTGTTTTCCTGGAACACAAAGGACTACAGTAAAACCCCAGATGGGGGCTCCCTGCTGGGTAGCTGTTCTCTCCAGGGTGCTGAATGTCTATGTGGACTTCTTGGGGCCTTGACTCCCAAAGACAGTACTTCCTTTATCTAGACAAACGCATTAATTCTTCTGCAAGTTAGGTCACAGGAGCTAAGGAAAGAGAGACCTCAAAGAGGCCTCTTCACAGAACTCAGAACCCCATGTGAAAGCTTGGCCTCCTTAAAAGAATAGGGGAAGGATTAAGGAACCTGACAGAGGTGACCAGTTCATCTACCCCCTATTACAGGTTTAAGGTTCCTAAGCACCTGCTTGTCTCCTTTTCCAGACTGAAGGGCATTTCAGATTGACCATAAATTAAGGAAAAGTGACTTCCTTTGGAACACACTGCTTTTCCAAGGCTCCCTTAAGCATCTCTTCCTCATAGCTTCTAAAGTTCTCCTTCATTCCATATTCATTATAGAGATTTTAATTATGAGTGATCATGGCATGGAGGAGAAATTGTGATTCCTAACACTAAAGTTCCCACAGCACCAGTAGACACACACTGACATCAAAATGTGAAGGCATCACCAAAGCCCAAGGGAAGGAAGCTTCCAGACAGGGACCAACAGAAAGAACAGCAAAGAAGCAAAGAACCACAGCATGTTTGGTGATGCCAAGGGCTAAGAAAGACAGAAACTCTAACCAGCTTCTCATCAATCATGAAGGACTAGGAAGGAGACTCAGAAGAGTCGTTGATCCCGAGCAAAACAGTCCTGGGCCTGGCTGGTCCTAAATCTATGATAAGAATTTTGACACACAGGGAACATGAAATGTTCTTGAATAGTACAGCTGCCACCTGCCTAGGGCAATAGGGGGAGGTAGCCAAAGAAGAAATGCCATGGAAGTGGATGGATTTGGCCTAATACCTGTGTGGACCAGCACACCAGTTTCAAGTGGAAGGATTTTATTGGAACAAATAGAAACTGTGGCTTTGAAAACAACAGCTGGTTTTTCCCCACTGTGACTTGGCTTGTGTTTCTAGGCACCCCTGGAGTTTTCCTAGAATTCCCTCTACTTAAAAGCAAAACAGAAACCCTGTCTCGAAAAACCAAAGGAAAAAAAAAAAAGCAAAACAGAACAGCACAGTAAGAAAGCAATCAGAGGGCCCCACTTAATGAACCAGAGTGAGGGGGACAGTGTGTCCTGGCATTACCCCCCACCATCACAACCAGCATGCATGCATGCATGCATGCATCTGTAGCATGATGCCTTACCCACCTTGGAGGCCTTGGCTATGCTGTCGCTGATCCCAAATATTACTGGTCTCTTTCATAGGCTCACTATCAATGCAGAGTGCCAGCTGCAGCTGCACAACTTCCCCATGGATGCTCATGCTTGCCCCCTGACCTTCTCTAGCTGTGAGTACACAGGGGATTTGCATCTGGGTGGGGAGCTCTGGGGCTGGACCTGGCTGGACTGGATCTGGTTTCCAGTGTACAGCCCTGCAGTTGGGTGACTCTGTTACACACAACCAAAGAAAGCCAGTAGCAGTTGTGTCGCTGGCCACCAGGATGGTTTTACTCTAGACTGCGTCGCACAGAACATTGCAAAACAGGTAAATTTGATTAAAGAGTGAGTGGCTCTGTTACTGATGATGATATTGAAGGATTCAGAGGCTAACCAGTGTATTCACTCCCCAGGGAGACCAATACTAATGAGCTATGCCTATTTTTTGCAATTTTTTGCCACATTTTTTAGGTTTAATATTTTAAAGATTTGCCTTTTAATGAGGAAGGTCAGCTCTTCCCTTTGAATGTACTTATATGTCTTCTGGAACAGGTGGTGATTGATTTAGATCATTCCTAATGCTAAGTGCCTGAGCACACCCACAAGGAAATATCAAATATCAGATGCATTTACTGACTTACAAAGCTTTTAAGCAAAGGTCAGTATGGAAATTCACCTATTGAATTTATGGTGGTTTATTTTAAATGTATTAATCACAAGTACTTACGTATGTATGTAAGACTCACAAACATTTAAATAACTGTATTGGCTTTCTTTAAAACTGAATATAAAGCATGTCTGGCAAGTCTGAGGGAGCCTCAGGCAGACAGACTGTGGTATCAGGGGACAGACACACTTTAGAATTGGTTTTAAGTTCAGCAGAGTTCAAGATGCAACACAGAGTTTAACTGACCTCTTAGACTTGGCAAAAAAATGATCTCGTTCATGTAAAGAACAGCTATTGACTAGCTGAATCGGAACTTACTGTATTTGTTGATAGCACAAATGGCTGGTGTCCAGCACTTGAATGTCCCTGTCTCTGGTGTGGTAAGGTAGCATACAGATCCCTAGGCAGTTGTTCCCTGTATTTAAAAGTCAGAGAATGGCAAACTCTGCAGCAGTCTTGTGAGCTCTTCGGGCACATGTGGACACATGGCATAATTCTGAGTGATCTATGCAGGACATGTTTATCACCCCACCCCCACCCCCACCCCCCGCTGCTTCTGCTGTTCTTTCCAATATGTCGACATGCTGTTGCCTCATCTATTGAGTGTGTAATTTAAGTGGTTACATTATACTAACAGGCTTTCCATTCGCTCTTTTTTCCAATCTCCTACTCAAGTTTAGATTTCTTTACCACATTTTTGATGACTTCTATTTTGAAAAATTTTCAAAACTATTCATCTCTGTGGGACAGCTTTGCACAATTAGTTTCTGAGTCATTTATCAATTTGAATTAATGTTTCCTAGGACCTCTTCTAAGAATTTCTTTGTGAATTTATTGAGGCCTTAGGCTTTCTAAGCATTCATTGAACTTACTAAATTTGCACCCATCTTCCCATCTTTGCAAGCGATTCCCGTCCTCACCCCAGGGTAATTATTGATCTGGTTTGTATCACTGCATATTAGCTGCCTGGTCGATAATTTCATAGTTGGTTTCTGGTCTCTTTTACTCAGCTGGATGTCACTGTGAGTCATACATGTTGGCACATTAGTTAGTGGTTCCTTTTTCTGTCACTTTAAAGTTTAAGCCAAAGAAGCTGGGTTATACATATGGTGTGAACTTAAGTCTATACATTCTTGCAATTTCAGGCTCCGGAGTATAAATTGATAAGTTAGAAAAGCACTTTCGCTCATGCATCCCTTCACAGGCAAGGGTGGGTAGGAGGCTCCTTTAGAGACTCCTTCCAGAGACCTCTAGCTGAAGGCTTTTTGCCTCCAGAATCTTACTTTCTGCCAGGGCCTGGCCTTGGGCCTGTTCTTGGTCCTTGCCTGGGTGGAATCCTCAGGCTCCTGAGGAAGCCAGCAGAGATGACAGGGCTCCAAGTGTCCCATCTCAGGCACGCCCTTACAATCCTGTTTCTTCCTGTCAGTTTCCTTTACACCCTCACGCTTTCAAAACTTGTTTAACTATTCTGCAGAATCTTCTAAATCTTCCATTCCAGAACAGGATTATGTATGCATGACATTTGCTCTATTTCTAGAGAGAATATAGCTTATAGAAATAAAATTATTTTAGTGTGTAAAAAAGGATATAAAATATATATCCCTTCTGAAACTAGTTAGTAATTAGAATAAAGTACCAGGAAGCAGTCTGTTATAATTTGTGAGACCAGACATAATTAATTCTGTGTCTGGTATAGAACAGTTGTGGAAGGTGGTCACAGTAAATTAAAAGATGAGTAACTAAAATAAGAGGAGCTTTCAAAAAGATTTTTTAAAAATGTTCTCTGTGTGAGTGTTTTGACCGCATCCTTATCTGTATACCCATGATGGTCGCCAGAGGGTGCTATATCCCCCTGGAGCTGGTGTTACACCTTGTGGGTTGTGGGTGTGAACTTGGGTCTTCTGCATGAGCAGTATTCACTCTTAACTGTTGAGCTGCCACTACAGCCCCTATAATATCTGTCTTGAGGTTCTTTGTAGAACAACAATGAAGTTAAAAGACAAAATGTGTGTAAATGGCTATTTTTATTCTTTTTTTACAGTTATTTTGAATATAGTTTATTTCCTTATTGGTTTTCTCTTGGTTAAATATTAGCATTATGAAAAAGTCTTCCTCTCTGCTTGGCTGATTGATCAGAATATATGTCCATGAACGTTATTTCTTTTGTAGTTTAATTTTCAGAAATTGTTTGGCCTTTGAAATGCTGATGGAGCTGATGTGCCACAGCTACAATGTACAAGTGCTTTTCAACTTATAGTGCAAATACATCCAGATGGATGCATTGTTGGGTTGAAAACACCCAAAATTGCAGATATATTGATTGCAACATGCTGAGCTCCATAACTCAGAAACAAAGCATTCTTCAGTGCCCATTTGGCACACTTACTGATTACAAGGTTGGTTGCTTGCTTTGGATGCTGCTGTTGCTCAGAGTCACCAGAGAGAACCATGTGGATGCAACAGCCTGGGGAAGACCTATATGTTATGAAAGGTGTTTTAAAATTGTATATTGCTTTCACAGTATTCTAAGGTAGAAAAAATTGTCTAACCATCATAAGAAACATTGGAGGTATATATACATATACATATGCATATACATATACGTGTGTGTGTGTGTGTGTGTGTGTGTGTGTGTAATGAGTACAGAGGGAAGCAACAGCAAGTGTGTGGAGTCAGTTCTTTCTTCCCTATATATGAGTTCCTTGATTCACTGATTCATCTCATTAATCCTCTGTGTATTTTTATCATAATTTTAAAGTGAAACAAATATTAAAAATAGTAATTTAGCCAAGGGTGATATACAGGGAAAGTAAGTACATAAAGAAGTTACAAATCATAAAAGTTAGTAAATATAAGTTGAAATCAGAAAGAGCTATAACTATATTATTAATCATTATTAAAATGGCTGAAATACAGCACAGTGGTAAGAAAGTAGAAGACACTGGACATTCTGTTGATGGGAATATAAAAATGGCAGAAATAGAAAAGAATTTAGAAGTTCCTTTCAAAACGAAAACCATACTAGGAGAACTAGATATTGCATAGTTAGACATTGGGCCCTGAGAAACAAAGTATATAATCATGTAATCATGAAGACCTACTTATGGATATTCATGAAGACCTATCTATGGATATTCATGAAGACCTACCTATGGATATTCATGAAGACCTACCTTGGATATTCATGAAGACCTACCTATGGATATTCATAAAGACCTACCTATAGATATTCATGAAGACCTACCTATGGATATTCGGAGCATTATTGCTTTTCTTTCCTAGAGACGAATTCTCTGTGTAGCCCTAGTCTGCCTTGACCTCCAGTCTTCCTCAGCTTCTCAGTACTGGGGCTACAGGCATACACCATCTGCCCAGCTATAATACCAATTCCTAATGGAAAACACTTTCATGCCTGTCAGTGCACAGGCTGGTGAGAAAGTTGCTCTTAGATCCTTAAGCTGGACTACTCAGCAACCAAAATAAGGCAATTACTGGTTTGTGCAACAAGGTTGTTGGACTACCCCAGAATGTATGTTGAATGAAAATCCTCAAAGCCCACTCATGTGTGGTCTTCAGTATTCTTGAAATGACTGGGAAGTGCAAGCCAAGGTAGAATAGTTGATTGAATCTAAAGAAACAAAGGCTAAATAAACAGAAGGCATCCTATTATTGAACAGAAATGTTTAATTTTATTAAGATAATAATGCTCTGCAAAGATTCGTATGAAAACTCCAGCTAGATTTTGGCCCCCAAATTAGCAAGGTCATGCTAAAATCTTCACACAGTGCAAAACCTCCAGAATATCCAAAATATTCTTTGTTGAAGAACAAATGTATATGCCTCATGCATGTGATTTCAAACTGACTAACCAGCTACAATAACCAACCAAGTACATTGCTATGGTAAGAAAGATACACATACAGATCATGGAATGGAACTGAGTTCTGAAATTTAGAAAGTAAAAGTACAATCATGGTCAATTAATGTTTGATGAGGGCATCACAATAATTCAGTGTGGAAGGATGGCCTTTTCCACAGACACTATTGAGATGCTGGGATTTGTATGTGCCAAGAAGGAAGCTGCACTCCAAACGGAGCTATACAGTCATTGGAGGATAATGAGTGTAGGTCCTTGTGATTATGGGCTACCTGATGGTGGCTTAGCTCTGGAGCCAGAATTATGAATAACAAAGAAAAAAATAGACAAAGTGGTGCCGTTGTGTTGAAAACTATCACACCTCAAAGGACACCACCATCAAGATAGTGAAAGGTCAGCCTCCAGAAAAAAAAAGAGATAGCTATATGTCATACATCCGAAATCCCATTTAATAGGGAAGCTGTACACCTCGGAGAAATGGCATCTGCTTACTCATACTAGGTACACTGCTTTGTGCAGTTATGAGAAATTTCTCTAAAGGAAGGAAAAATGTTAACCTGTTGTTGACCACAAATTAATTTTTCCCC